GTCTGGGCAACGGAGTGAGACTCCAACTCAAAAAAAAAAAAAAAATTCAAACCAACCTACTCCATTGAATGCAAGGAGTACAGTAAGGAACAAGACAGAAATGATCCCTACCCTCTGTTCATATGTGGAAAACTTCCAGAAACATAATGCAGAGGGTAAAAGGCATTGGTGCTAATGGTGGCATATGGAGAAGGGAGTTGTTTGGGGAAGGAAAAGGTTCCTGGAGACAGAGTTTTGAGTCAAATTTGGAAGGGGATGACCAAAGGGAGAATATTCCATTGAAGGAATACCTCAGAGGTGAGAGGATCAAATGAGGAGAGGTAATCAACACACTTACACCTGGATAAACATTCTACACTGGCATCTTTACAAGCTGTAAAGGTTGGAGTTTTTGGACAGCTCGTCTGTTACACTTCTAGGAGGAAGTGAGTTACAAGCAAAAATTGTTCTGTGCCCTCTCCCTTGGTTCTCTGATGCCTCACCTTCAATTAGCTTTCAAGTGAAAGAGATTTCTGTTTATGTCTAGATGAAGAACAATGCCCTCCTCCAACTGCCCTCTGCCTTAATGTTGCTTCCCTGCCGCCCAGTCCTTACTTCTGTGGCTCTTAATGCCAAGTTTGTGTCCTGGAAGAGTCGCACCAAGTACACCATTGTACCAGTGAAGATGAGGAAGTCTGGAGGCCGAGACCACACAGGTGAGAGTAAAGGCAAGGGGGTTTGAGCAGTAAAAGGGAAAAACATGCTAGGACACTAAGCCTGTATATTGACATGCTTTTGCCTTCCTTATAAGGAAGAGGAATGTAACTAAAAAGCACTTACTTGGCTCCTTTTGCATGGACTATGTGCGTGGAGGAGCCAGAGATTAGAATATAAAGCAACAGATACCTGGTCTGTGCTTTGAAAGACAATCTGGGTAACTGAAGAAAACGGGCCATACACAAGAAGTGCTATGACATTTTTCTTCACACCCTTCAAAAATGTATTAACAGTCAAAATTATCTGAGTATGATTTACATGGCTCTCAGTAAACCTGAAAAAAATCAGTAATTGGAAAAGCTGTTATCCGGAAGTTTGATACAACTTCAGTAATCCTATAATTAAGTTTTCACCAAGCTTTGTGTCAGTGTTGCCCCACCCCTCCCTACTCCAGTGTGTTGTGCAATTTTTATCATTTCTGCCCGTGCCATAATGTTGAAAAGCACTGCTCTCTGACCGAGGGTAAGTCAGTTCCCAATGCTGGGAGCTGAACTAGTCTGACCTGGATCACGTCCCTGAACTGTCCTGATCACAGGCCGAATCCGAGTGCATGGTATTGGCGGGGGCCACAAGCAACGTTATCGTATGATTGACTTTCTGCGATTCCGGCCTGAGCAGGAGACCAAGCCAGGACCCTTTGAAGAGAAGGTTGTGGTAGTCCGCTATGACCCTTGTAGGTAAGTTTGGGATGTGGAATGATGATGGTATGGTCTGAATAACTGTGTAGTTTCTCAGAAGTTGTAGGTCTGCCTAAATAGTCTATTCACCTGTTCCTCACACTGAATAGGTCAGCAGACATAGCTCTGGTTGCTGGGGGCAGTCGGAAACGCTGGATCATTGCCACAGAAAACATGCAGGCTGGAAATGTAATCCTGAACTCTGACCACATAGGCCGAATGGCAGGTGAGAGATGAATACTAGATGTGTGGGCTGGATACTGCATAGGTTCTAGTGCTGATAAAATCCTGTCTTTTAGTTGCTGCTCGAGAAGGCGATGCACATCCTCTTGGTGCCCTGCCCGTGGGGACCCTCATCAACAATGTGGAAAGTGAGCCAGGCCGGGGAGCCCAGTATATCCGAGCTGCAGGTATGAGGAAAGAAGCTGCCTGGGTCCTACAGTTTGGAAGGCCAAGGAGTGCCTGAGGTCACAGTTCTCTGAAACTGGTTTCACATCCAGTGTGGGCAGAGAAAAAGAAAGAACGAGGAACATGAAGATGAAGATGTGCTTTTGTTTTGACCTAAAATATTGCATGCATCCTTTTTGTATCTGCTCCTGAAGGGCAAGGCAAGAGCAGCATGTGGGACATAGCCCCCATGTAAATCCCACCTCCTGACTCTTTTATGGAGAATAGCAAAGCTGCTTCTCCTTTCCCCAGGGACATGTGGTGTGCTGCTGCGGAAGGTGAATGGGACAGCCATCATCCAGCTGCCCTCTAAGAGGCAGATGCAGGTGTGTATGTGTGTAGGTACAGGCGAGAGGGATCAGCAAAGAATTTTTGGGATGTACGTGTCCTGCCTGGTATAGCTCCCAGGTGTTTCATGGTGCTGGGCACTGCCTTGAGCTGGGTCTGTCCTCTTCTGCCACGTGGCTAGATGTGCCTTGTCAGGTTGACACCCCATAATGGAATGGGGAGCAATGTCTTTTTCAACTACCCAGTTCCTACTGTAGGACCCATATTGTGCTTTCCCCCTCCCTTCCCTCGCTGAATCTAAGAAGCCTCCAAGGGTCGTGCCCTCAACATTGTCAGGCTCTTGAATCCCCACTGTGCATTCTCCTCCGTCTGCTTTGCTTCCCCATCAGGTGCTGGAAACGTGCATAGCAACAGTAGGCCGAGTATCCAATGTCGATCATAACAAACGGGTCATCGGCAAGGCGGGTCGCAACCGCTGGCTGGGCAAGAGGCCTAACAGCGGGCTGTGGCACCGCAAGGGGGGCTGGGCTGGTCGAAAGATTCGTCCACTGCCCCCCATGAAGAGTTATGTGAAGCTGCCTTCCGCTGCTGCCCAAAGCTGATATACCTGTACTCTAATAAAATGGCCCCCCATTTTTATGTTACTGGTTTTTTTGGGGGGAGGGGGAGGACGGTACAGACCTGGATGTGGGGAAAAGGAGCAAATGGTCTAAGGGAGGGAAGAGAAAGGAAAAAACCAGTATGGGTCCGCCCTCCCCCCCAGTTTCCTTACATGCAACGAAGTAGGGGGGGAGGTAAATGACCTCCAAGGTCTTTCCCAGTTCTGACTTTGGGAAACGGAGAAGGTACTTCCGGCGACAGGAGGGAGGACAAAAAGGAAGAGGAAAGGCCGGCGCAGAGGAGGCTCCGCCCCTGCGCTCTCCCCGGGCCCCCAGCTTTCCGCTGGCTCCGGCGGAAATGAGCCGTGGCTCTGGGCGGGCGGCGGAGCCCCCGAGGTGGGCGCGCGGCGCAGCCGG